GTCCGCTTCTCCCCCGCGGCTGAAGCACCGGCTCCGTTCTCGAGTATTTATTTTTGGTAACGAAGGAGGGACAGAGGGAGCCCAGGCTGACTTGCAGTGTCCAGATTTATTCGGTGCAGTAAGTGTATCATGGCTTTTCAAGCGCAGGCGCTCACGCTTGCAGCCATGAGGTGAGGATTAATACAAGAAAGAGATGCAATGCTCTTTCAGGTTGGAAGCCTTTGCCAGCTCTAAGTGCCCATGATTGAGCTTTCTCCTCTGGTAGCCAAGATGGTAATGGTGCTGCATGTTGCTACGGAGCTCCTGACGTACTTCTGACGGGACAAGCCCTGTCGCAGCCTCCCCCGCGGCTGAAGCACCGGCTCCGTTCTCGAGTATTTATTTTTGGTAACGAAGGAGGGACAGAGGGAGCCCAGGCTGACTTGCAGTGTCCAGATTTATTCGGTGCAGTCAGTGTATCATGCACTGGCTTTTCAAGCGCAGGCGCTCACGCTTGCAGCCATGAGGCAAGCATTAATACAAGAAGGAGATGCAATGCTCTTTCAGGTTGGAAGCCTTTGCCAGCTCTAAGTGCCCATGATTGAGCTTTCTCCTCTGGTAGCCAAGATGGTAATGGTGCTGCATGTTGCTACGGAGCTCCTGACGTACTTCTGATGCACTCCTGATGTACTCCTGACGTACTCCTGACGTACTCTTGATGTACTCCTGATATACTCCATCCTGGCTGTTCTGGCGTAACAGCTGGGGGTGCTTCAAACTACAGCATCCTTTTGTGCTGTTATGCACATAAATATCTACGGTAGAGAAAGTGGACATGGAGAACTGGCCGCCGTCTGTGAACTATGTGAGCTAAGGAATGCAGCGATGTCCCCTCCCTCCTGTTTCTGTCACCGGCAGTAATATTTGCATTAGTACCACGGTCGTGGCTTCTGCTAGGACAAGGGTGTGCGGGGCACCCGCTAACAGGAACGACCATCACTCCACCTTAGGAATAAAGCAAAGCGAATGACACCCGTCCTGGATCTCTCCTCCGACAGATGGCAAGCAGCTCTTGTCAGAAACCGTGCCCAAAATGCAAATAGAAAATAATTAGGCAGCTCGGCTGACAGGGCAAGAAAGGAAGGTACCTGGTCGGCTGTGGCTACCCAGGGACCTTGCATAAACTGACAATAAAAACATATTGATCCATCCCAGAACGGCGCTGGAACGACGCCGCTCTTCATGGGAGGGAGGGATCTGCCACGCAGAGTAAACCGGGCTCAAAAGACTGGCGCAGTCCTCAAGTCTGCTTCGTTATCGATCGTGCTTCGTTATCTCACAGCACCTTTCATTCAAGGATTTCAGCATACTTTGCTTACCCAGGCAAATCCATCCCCAAATGGAATTCCGAGAGAGAGGGTGAAAACTGCACCAGAGATTAATGTGGGCTGTTAATTAGTCCTCAAACCACTCTTACCGGGAAGAAATAGAGGGATGATTTTATTTGCCAAGGAAATTCAAACAGAAGTTTACCAGCTTCCAGAGGTGCTCTGCTGCAGTTTGGGGCTGGAGGGGAAGGAAGCGGCTCCTCCAACAGAACTGCGAGCGGAACTCAGGAAGGAAAAATTAATTACCGGTGCTGAACTCCGGCCAAGCCATCAGCCACGACACTTCTGCATCCTTACAAAAACTACGGTGTGATTTTTAGTGACCACAGATGGTCTGGATCCTGGTAGCGCTTCTCAGTCGAAATAGGCAATTTCAGCATCGCAGACATCCTTGGAGGATGCGGGGCTGAGGCAGAGGATGGCGTGGGGGCTGCACGGTGCACGCATACGGCTCTTCCCCCGATGTCGAGCTGTACGTTTTCAGGGCTACAGGCACAATCGGACAACAGCTCCAGGAATCACCACCCCAGTTATCCCAGTGGATGGGGACCAGTGGCACAAGCAGTTCAACGGGAACGGGCAGCAGCGGGCAGAGGAGCGATAATGAACGAGTGAGTGGTGGAGGACACTTCCCAGGGCTTTTTCTCCGAAAAACAACAACAGAAAGAAAGCTGGAAGATGATGACAGCAAAAGATCGTGCCCTTTGGAGAAGCCTGCCAGCAGTTAACAGAGACCTGGCATTCTGCACTGCATTGAAAGGCTTTGGTGAGCTCTTCCAGTTGCTCTGAGAAGCGAGAAGGGAGTTGGTGAGGAGGGAGCTGGGTCCAAGCAAGCGCAGCTGGGACTCGGGCTGTGCTGGAGCCTGCCTCCTAGCACTCTCTTTTCCGTCTCAGCAATGCAAACGAGAAAATTCCTGCTGGATACTGAGCTCTCTTTGGCATCTCCTGATGTCTGACCACAAGAACCACCATGAAGTCATGATTTCCCCTTAACAGGAGATGGGGGAAGCATGCCTCCAGGGCTGCATCCCTGCCCAGCGCCCGGGAGCTCTGGCTCGACTACGGCCATGCCGAGTTACACCAGGTTCACAGCTCTGCACCAGAAAAGCAAGAGAAGTCATTACATGCAAGCAGCAAGGTCAGAGGCATGGAGAGCAGTGGGGAGCCCTTCCTCAGGCTTCCCTGGGTTTGTTTCCCTTTTGATGGTCAAATTTGGATGGGGAAAAATACCCCGATGCGCAGAGGTGCCTGTGCAAAAATATTTCACATTGGTCTCCGTAAATGTGGTTGAGGTGGGTGTTTTCTTAAGCTGCGGTGCTGCCTCTGAGCATCTCTGTGCCCCTCTGGGATGACGCTCTTCCACTCCTCCAGGTTGCCGTCTGGATTTTGCATCCCTTTTCGGCAAAGCCCGGTTCCATCCAGCCACCTGGAAAACCCCCTCCTGGAAGCAACGCTCTTCCTTCCCCAGACCTGCCCCACCTGGAGCACCTGATTCCCGCTGCCAAGAATAAAAGCTCAGACTTTAACAGAACACAACCTTCTCCTTTTAGAGCTGGGTCATAAACCTGAAACGCTGACAAAGGTAGTTAGATTACACCTGTATAAACAGGCACTAATCAAAAATATGCTCCATAAACATAAGCTTTCAAAACAGAGCTCTGTACCATTGATGACTATGGCGCGTGTTTATTTATCCATGGGTGAACTTGCCAATTTACCCCATAAATCCTTAAATAAAGGCACTGCCTGCTTTCTTTTTCCTTCTCCCCCTTTTCCTTGAAGCAAAACCATCCTGAGCGTGCCATGGTGGCCTCGGCAAACGCTCTGGTGACAAACTCGTGAAGACTTATAAACCGTGAGTTGCCAGCACAGGAGACAATAAAGCTCCTGTTCCATCTCAGGTGACCTTTAATGCAAATCCATTCAGTCCCAGGGATCTCACAGCTCCCGTGCCATGCCGGCACTAAGAGGATGAAGCCTCAGAGAAGCTGAATTCTTTTTGATGCTGCCAAGCCCGTTTGCCTCCTTCCCTGCCCTTCCGTTCTTTGAAAGCAGTTGCCGTCATGACACAGTATCTCCATCTGGCAGGGTGAATAAGCAGATCCACCCAGAGCCATCAAAAAAGAAGTGAGTCAACGCTAGGGATTTAAAGAAGTATTGTGAGATTTCATTTCAAGCTAAGGGGATTGCTTTTAAATAGCTCCCTTTAAAGTATTAAACCCAACGCAGGGACACAAATGCAGCGGAGCCTGCAGACCTCCTATTCCTATCGCTCTTCTGCAACCAGCCAGCTACTTCTGGTCCCCAAAAGTCACTGCTGCCTACGCCGACCTCTGAGGTGCAGCTCCCGTTGCTGTACAGGAGCTGATCAGTCAGGATTGGTACTCAAACTTTCTCCCAATTTTTCAAAGCTTAATGGCTATTCCGTCCCCCCCCTGCATGCCAAGACTGCTTCCGTACCTGGTCTGCCAAGGAAAGCAACAGGCACCGGCACCGTAGAGCAGTGGATCCCCCAGCCCGTCCCCAGGCACCACTGGGACATTACACTGGCAGAGCAGGGGTATGCAGGGGGAATCACTGGATGCAGCAAGGCTCCCCAAATGCTCTCTCACCAAGTGTGCTGCATTTTGGATGGCAGCTTCTGCTCGTTGCTCCCCAAGAAGAAAGATCATGGCCCGGGAAGCCCTGTCCCACTTTTGTAATAGGAAAGCCCAGAGTGTCCTGCTTTCGGTCTGAAATGAGAACGTCTCGCCCCCTCTTTAGTACGCTGCTGCTGCGGGGAGAGCAGGCGATCAGATGTCTGCAGTGGTTTGCTTAGGTGTGGAGAAAATGTGGGAATGTAATACGCGGCAAATACTCTGTTTTCGAAGCCAGCAGGCTAGTGAGGACTACCTAATCCGGGGGTTTCCCGATATCCCCCCAACAGAAAGGCTTCCCAGCCAACCCTCACTCGTTTGTGAAATACTTGGGCTATGTATCTCATGAGTATGTCACTTTTCTGGCAGCTACGCCAAGCCTTTCTGCTGGAGGTTCCTGATTTCAAACCAAGGTCATTTGCAGCCCCAGTAATTAGTGTCACTACAGCAACATCACTGTGTTATGCAAAGAAAGTTAATCTAGATTCCTAGCACTCAATACATTAAATGATTGCAAACAACATCTGATGATGTCTGATGGGTGCTTGTGCTGTTACGTTTACTCAGAGCAGGAATAAGACTTGGCCAGATTGCATCCACCAACAGCTCGAGAATCTCTGGTGGCTATTACAGGCACAACCCCAGAGGTCTGAGTTTCTTCGGTGCCGAGTTACGTACCTGAATACATGTCCCAGTGCACTCCTTGCAGAGGCTGCAGGACAAAGCCCATCTGCTTGCTGGGATGTGTGAGATCTTCGTAATGGGTTCCATTTTTTCAGGACATCCAATGCTAACCTGGTCACGAAATAGAAGACAAGTTGTAAATACTGGTTACCATCCCAAATCTCCTACAGGGGGATGTCTGTGGCAATCTGAATGAGGGATGGATTTTTTATGTTATTTTTCAGGGTCACTTGTAATTTGGAAAAACAACCCCAAACTCCAAAACCCAGAAACAAATCTGGATGAAATGGAAGGAAAAATTTATGTCGGTGTTTCCTCTGAACTAATTCTCATCTGGATGTTGCTGTGTATCTCAAATGGGCACATGAACTTAGCTTTACCCTGCCAAGGCAGGTCCTGTGAATGCCCCCCACCTCTGTGCCCCTGCAGCCCACCTCTGTGTCCTCCCTTAACAGGGTGCCGTGTGGCTGCTAATTAAACACAGCCTGATGATGTGCGACTGGCATCGCGGCTCTGACCTCGGCATGGCTTGATGAGCCAAACTGGACTTGCTATTTAGATCATTAATGAACATCCTGGGCTCAGACCTGGAAACCAGGACCATGCCCACCCGTGTGTCAAGAGGAGGTTGGAAATCATCTTACTTCAGGTATCCATAAGGCACAGCTAACGTGGACCCATTTCGTCCCGCTCCGGGTGGGCTTCAGCGCTCCCCCTCTCTTCGGGCACAGTAGACACTTTGGCTGAACCCCGAGGGCGCAGGTCCGGCACAGCCAGCTCCCGATGGGGACCTTCAGGATGCCGTAGCACGCCTGCGCAGACACAAGGGAGGCGGGTTAGTCCCAGCAGCCCGGGAAGAGCATCCTCCAGGGCCTCCTCCTTCACTCCTACCTTTCCCACTACCGCTGGCTTATTGCCACCGCATCTGGGCATCACAATAATAAACAGCAGATGTGAAGCAGCTCCGCAATCACAGACAGCGAGTTCTTCCTTCCTTGCTACCTTCCCTATTTTCACATGGATACTCATGCCAGATCAGTATGTCCTGGGTTTTAATTAAAAGCTAAGTATACAAACGTGCTGTGTATCATGCCAAGCATCCACCCGGCTCTGGGTCAGAGGGGGGGGGGGGGGGAGGAAAGCAACCAGGCTGCTCCATCAGAGCCCCCACCACCGGCAGCTCTGCGGTGCAGACATCTGCCCGCTCATCTCCTGCCTGTTTCCGAACAGCTATCAGACCCACGACGACTCGGAGAAGTAAGAAATGCCGTGCGGAGAAAACCTCTGAGGTAGCTGAGGGCTGGAAAGCCACAAGCCCACGATTGAGAAAGATGGCCACACTGGTTACACACCCAACAGCCTGAAGGGGAAGCAAAAATAACTACGGAAAGGTGAAAAGGGGGAACCGATAGTCATGAATATAAATGAGAAGGGAGGAACCATAAAGGACGATAAATCTAGAGGACGATAAACCTAAAGGAGGCAAGGACAAGTCTACGGCCAAGAGAGTGAGAACTAAAGGACTCGGGTCACCCACGGAGGTCCCCGACCTGCTGCAATAGCGCAGGATGCAGCGAAGCCAAAGTGCTTCACAAATATTTCTCTTCCGTACTTGGGGAAGAGCCAAATGATAAGCCGTATCACATAATGATGATGATAAAATACTTTCCACTTCGGCCGTAACTTATGACTGTATTAAACAGCTACTGCTAAAACTGGACAGTTTTTAACCGGCAGATCCCGATAACTCGCACTTAAAGGGTTTTCAGAGAGTGGCAGACAACTGCCCTGGGCGCCAGCGCAGGGCTGTGTCACTATTTTAAGCGAGGCGATGTAATTAATTCTAGATCTGGCTGCTCTGACATCCCTCCAGAAGGCAAGCGGGCAGCGCTGGTAAGGACCCCCGGCGCCGTTGGCTGTAAATTGAGCCCAGGCATTTGTCAACTCCACTTTTTGAAGTTTACCCCAAAAAAGAACAGTTTTTTGTCCTGGTGCTGCAGGTCACCGTCACCACGAGTGACAGTGCTGCAGGTGGGGACAGGGGCAGAGGGGGCACGCGGAGATGTGCAAGCGTGGGAAAAGCGTATCCTCGGTCTTTACTGGCCACGAACAGACTTTATAACATGACTTTAGCTTGCCCCAAAGCACAAATTGACTCCGATAGTGATTTCCAAGGGGAAAAAGCCACTTTGTGAACAGATTATTGGGATAATAAGGAATTAAGGGAGGTAATATTATTGCTGCGAGTCTACACGGTTCACAGAGACTTAACTGTGTGTTTCACAGCGCCTCCAAATCTGACAGATAAATCATTTCTGTAACAGAGTTTTATAAAACATCTGATTTAGTACCAGACAAAAATCAGCCTGGTACGTACTACCAGGAGAATAAACTGGCAGACTGATCTCAAAATCCAGGGGAAAACAGGAATTATGACCAGGTGTGCATCTCTAGCAGTCTTGGCTCTCGGTTATTTATTCCTAGAGGTTTTAGAGCAGCTGAAGGTGCAATTCTGCTCCTAGGAGCAAATACTACAGGGCTTCTGTCCCGGGCAAGGAGCGGCTCTGGAAACGAGGTGGGTTATCAGCTAAACACGCTCTCCCAGTCCAGCACCAGCCAGAAAGCGCTCCAGGAACACGGAGCCAGAGCAATGCTGAGTAGGAGCAGAGCAGCTATTTTTATTGCTGCGCCTGTCACAGGCTCAACATCACCGAGAAGGGGACACCGAAACACCGAGGAGGATGCCAAGCCACAGAAAAGCTTGGTCCACGTAACAGAGGGAGGGCTCGGCCGTGTCCCCATGCCAGGGAATGGGAATTTGGCAATGACAGGACCACGGGGCGATGGCTGGAAGCTGGAGATGGATCATTCCTGTGCTAAAGAGAAGTGCGATGTTGCCACCGCGAGAGCAATGAACCACAACGATTTAGCAGCAGGGAAGAAGATTCCATCTCGCTGAAAATTTTAAAATGAAGATTGCTTGTGTTTTCTAAAAGCTACGCTTCATAGGAATTAATTAATAGCAAGCCTCATGGCTTGTGTTATGCAGATGAGGTGATTACAACGATCCCTTCCAGCACCATAACCCACCAACGTGTGTCTGAGCACAACCCTTCCTCTGCCCCTTCCTGCTGGGATGCAGGAGGATGAGGCATTGCTCCAGCCATGTCCCCCGGGACCCCAGCTCCCCTCCGCCGCTGCCCAAATACATGGAGCAGGTGGCAGCGGCACCCAGTTCCCCACAGGAAAGCATCGTCCCCGGCAGGTTTCGGACGTGGGGCTGGCAAAGGCATGGGGAAGGTTAGATTAAAAACATGATGCCACGTAACACCCTGTGCTGTGGCTCTGGACTTTGTGGCTTAGGGCGTAAATTGGGGCAGAGATTAAATCACAGGCAGCTTACAGGCTGGCATCGGGCACAGGCTTGGACTCTGCTCCCTGAAAACAATGGAAAACCTCCCTTTTCTTTCAACAGCCTTGAAATCCAGCCTGCCACATCCCCTTCCACAGCACCGCTCTGCTCCCAGCACCAGGGCTGCTGCCGAAAGCGGAGCCCACGGGGTGCCACAGCCTGTGCTGGGCACAGCCGGGGTCCATATGTCCCCATGGCAGCCCTGCGCACGTTGACCTGCCTCCCCCCGAGCCCCCTGCCCGCCGGCACGTGTCAGCTCACAGCCTGACATTGCCACTTGGGCTTGTTAAAAAAAAAAAAACAACACCACAAAAAAACCTCCAACCCCAACCCTGAATCGTCCTGGTATTTTGTGGAATCTGATTCACTGATGGAAACCATTCAAAACACCCACCTCTCGCAACTATAGATATCTCCAACGCTCTCCCACCTCCAGGAAGCGCTGATGGAAAAGCTGCCCAAAGGATGAGCAAATGGCTCTCTTCAGAGGAAAAAAACCCAAACCTTTCACACAGAGGGTGAAGCCCAGGAGCTGCAGCTGCTGTCGCAGCACCGCGCGGTGCTTCCCCTCAAAGCACAACCGGCAAAACCTCCCTGGACGTGTGTGGGACCCAGGAGACCCTCACAAGGCTGCCTTCTCCTTGTCAAGGTCTCCCCCTCCTTGAGCACCAAACCCAGGAGCCCACAGACCCCCCCAGCAAGGGATTGAAGCATTTGCATTCAGTTCTAAAAATAAAATTATTTTCCTCCAGGCAGCAAAAGAAAGTGAAATCCTACACTTGTACAGCAGGGAAGCTGGGACAGAAACCCTGCGATGTGAGACAGTGCTAGTGGAGCTGGAAGGTCCTACTACCCCCAGTATAACGCTGTGGAGGAGGCTGGAGGTCCGTGCAAGCCCACCCCTCCGGCCGGTGCAGGGTGAGTGCAGGGCTGCAGACCCTCATCCCTCCCAGCCCAGGTCCCGCACACGGTGCTGGTCACCCCTGGATGCTAAAGGTCCCACGGCTGCAGTTTAATGAAGAAAGATGGGGTAAAGAAAGAAGAATAATGGAAGAGGAAGCATAAAATAAAGTATCACAGAGATCAGAGAATAAGGAGGAGGGAGCAAAGCAAGCTTGTGGGAAGCGGTTTTCAACCTCTGGTGGTGTGTTTCTGCGGGCAATTATGAAGGGCTGGGGCTAAGAAAGTAAGAAAAGCAAGTTTGCTGCCTGCCAGCTATCCAAGACCCCCTTTGCTATCCCTGCTCCGCTGGAGACGTGCTGGGAATCTATCAGAAAAGCTGAGTAGGGTTCTACAGCAGCTCAGGGAAAGGGGGACAGTGGGGATGGGAGGAACCCAGAGGAAGGTAAAGGAGTGTGATGTGCAGACAGCCAAAAACTGCCGCTCTCCCCCCGCGGTGGGGTCTCACCTGGTGCACGCAGACGTTGCACTTGTCGCAGAACACCATCTCGTTGCCGTCCTCTCCCTCCGGCGAGCGGCAGACGTCGCACACCACGTCCTCGTCGTACTCGATGCCCAAGCCTTCCTCCGTTTCGATGGCGATGTTCATGTTCTCGTAGCACATGGTCTCCAGCTCCTCCAGCACTCGCTCCAGGGTGATCTCGTCCAGCTCGGGCTTTTCTGCAAGGCAGAAGGCAGAGGAGGACACTGATGCAGCTCCGGCACAGGAGCCCATCCACCTTCAGGGAGCATTTTGCAAAGGGCTGAGCATTTTAAACTGCAACTCAAGAGGCAAATCCACGGCGATGGTAAGAGCGGCGACTCAGAAAACGGCTGCTTCTAACTCAGGATGCAGTTTGTGTTTCATAGACAGTAACAAAATATTGCTGCTGGCTGAGAGGAAAGAAACCCATTCAGCTGAAGCAATGCGGATAATTAGGTCTGACAGTTTAAATGTTCAAGGAGACAAGTTTTGCAAAGATGCTTTCTGCAGCGAGGGCTCAGACAAGCTTTGGCAACACAAAGTCAATGCTTTATTTGTTAGGACTGAAAATTGACCCTTTTAAGGCCAATTAAGTGGAACTGTAAAACTGAAGCCAAAGGCTGAAACTGAGGACAAATGAGGGTTTTTTTCCTGTTTGGGTTTAGTGGAACCAGAAGGTCAGACCCAGGTGGGGGTGGGCTCAGATCCGCTGTGTTGTCTTTTATTCCCCCGTACCAGGATCTTTAGTGGAAAGAAGTGGCAGAGGTGCTCTACCAGAGGTTTCTCCAGAGTGACAACCCGGAATATGAGGCCAATAACCAGGAGAGGCTTTTTCAGAGCAGCAACCTCCAGCAGCAGGATACCCGGTCACTGTTACGGGGGGGATGCTGCTGCCAGGAGCTCCGCAGCACCGAAACGGTGCCATGCCGAACGCTGCTCCCAAAAGTGCTGCCTCCCACCCGCGCACAAAGATCCCGGTGCCACAAACGCAACGTGAGGTCACTCCAGGTAAGGGAAAAAAGGACAAAATCTGTCAGCAGCAGGAGTGAGGTTCTCCGCGAGGGGTAAGAGGCAGAGTTAAGCCCCCACCGCACCCCGTCTCCCCGTGAGCACTATTTCATCACCGGAGAAGGCACAGAAATGAGGACGGAGATACCAGCAGGATGCAATACAAAACATTTAAACTTTGCATTTCATTTGCGTGTATTATCCGTGATGATGGCCAGGATGCTCCAGAATGCGGCAGACAGCAGAGGAGCCTGACCTGCGCTGCTGTCCACCTTGCTTGTTGCAACGCAACGGGAGAAAATACCTCATTTATGAGCAGAGACAGGGAAAATAAGGCTTGAGGAAGTACTAATATGAAGCAGTTATTAATTAAATGTTCAGTGAGAAATTTGCCATCCTGGGCATCTCTCGAGCCACAGTGTGACATCCCTGTCCGTGATGAGCTCTGGGGTCCTGAGAAGCCCCCGGGGCTGGGGATGGACGGGGCTCGGGGGTCCTGGGCCGTGCTCCTGGCCCCTCTGGCTGGATGATGCCAGCAGAGGCTGCACCTTCCCCCAACGGCCACGGACTGGCTGAAAAAACTCTGTCAAGGGGGAAAGCAACCCGTAGGCGAGCTCGGCAAGCAAACACACCATTGTCTGCCTTTTTAAGCTCTTCCCCAATGTTTCGCATTGGCACGATTTCCCTTGGCTTGACAAGTCTCTGCAAACATCTAGCCTGGCATTGTACATGTCTGTGTCGAGTCTGAGATACCATCTAAGACAGACAACACTGTTCCCTATCACAGCCCTTTCAAGCGCTAGGGCTGCTGTGCCGCAACACGCCGAGGAACCTGACAATACCTGTTTTATTACCGAGCAGCCCTGGCGATGAGCACGGGATCTCTGCAGAGCCCCAGCCTGGCACAGGCTGCCCAGGGGCCGCTGGGGCTCAGTGATGTGAAGCATCCCGCGCTGGCATGGTGGCACAGCTAGCCCCGTGCGCTGGAGCCAGGTCGGAGCCGCCGGCTTGCTCTCGGCATCATGCCAGTCAGATGCAACAGGGCAGGGAGTGGGGTTACAGACAAAGTCAGAGCATTATTTTTGCCTTAATGGTGTCCCTTTATAAACACACCACCTGCGTTGCACTTGCTTGATGGAGAGCTGCAAGCCATGACTTCACGCAAGCATTAAATAAGCTCTCAGTCAGTGTTTCAAGTCCACATCTGTGACTATGATCCCAGGCACCGGAGTGTCAGCCTGGAGTTACTCCCTTTCTCCCAACATTTCAGGCTCTGCCCTCCCTGCTCTTCTGGAAAGCAAAATGATCATTAAAGTGTTCCCGGTGCTTTTCCCCACACGCTTTCTGAAGCCACCCTGTGCTCAGGGGAGAGGCCAGGCAGAGAGCTGGCAGCTGCAGGCAGCACGAGGAAGGAAAGGGAGGGGGTTTTCCACAGGAATCATGACCCTGACCTGCCCACAGGGTCGGGATCACGCTGGCATCACCGGGATCGCGCTGGCATTGCCACCGTTCCCACTTCCCCTTGAGTGGAAAGAACCGGCTCCCGTCCCACCTCCTGCATTTTCCATCCACAGCGATGCCCCGGTGTCGCCAGCTTAACCCTGGGGAGAAAGTCCCCACTAATCCCAAAACTCTCGCGCCGGAGCAGTATCAGCACCCCAGCTGGGTTCCCTTATCAGCCTACGTGCAATGTAATTGTTATACCGTTACATCGAAAAATATAGATCTCTCCCTCCCTCCCGCGCACACACGCGCGCACTCTCACACTCCATTTAGATGTAATTACATTAGGAATTCGTTTGCCAAGCGCCATTCAGAATACCTCGGAGCTTATTGAATTGACAATTGCACTGGATGGGGATGAAGCGATTAATCGCTTATGAAACACTAAACAATGGGGCCTGGGGGTGAAGTGCTTTTTCCATTTGTGCTCCATTTATCTCCTTCTGCATCATATAAAGTTTGTGCTATTAAACTCCATTCATAAAATTGTCATCTTTTTGGCTGCAAAAACGCTATCTGTATTGATCGTGGCCAGCTCAATAGCAAAAAAAAAAAAAAATACTCCACAAACAACCCCTGTGTACATGCACAAGTGACACTGTTATTGTCCCCGGGGAAGGAAAAGCAAAGACCCAGATACTGATCTTGGCTACAGTGAGTAAGTCCAGTGACGTCCAGGGGGTAAATCATGTTTGCGACCGTCACCAGGACCGTGGACCAAGAGAAAGGTGTTTTTACCTGGTTAAGGTATGCCAAGGTCTTGTATGAAAGGTGGGGGAGAAAACCAAGCTTTCCTAAGCCTCCACAGAGAAGGGCAGCGTAGCTGCAAACTTCTCCATAGTTTCTGTCTGGAGGGACATAGGCAGAAGTGAGAATTCAACCTCACACCAATATAATCACCGGCGATTTGGAGCCACGTTCAAAACCCTGACACAGGAGTAAAAGGCTCCATGTGCCATCACCCCTTCCAGGAGGCCACCCATACCCTCTCTCCCCATTAACACTGAGCGTGTTAACGATGATGGGTTTTGATCTGGCCACCCAGCCTCCCTGGGACACCCCCGACATCGCCCCGCGGTGGGAAGGACTGTCACCCAGGGAGCGCTGCTTCCCACCGCGTCCCAGCCGGAGAAAAGCTATCCTCTCTCGGCCCAGAGCAGGATGCTGGCGGGCAGCGCGTACCCAGCCAAAGGAAGCATCCCCCGGAGGAGAAGGGGGACTTTGCTTCAGAAATGGAGGAGGAGAAGAGGCGCCAGACGATGATGCACTACAGGAGGTCTCCAGATCTGATTCAGGAAGGGAAAACGTGTAGGAACCCAGCCTTTCGTTTGAACTTTGCTCCCGGCAGAAAACTCTTCCCTGTATCTCTGCCGTTGGGGTCTGCCACGATCCCTGCAGCTCCGCAAGCCGCCCAGCATCCCTCTGATCCGCGGGGGGCTCCCGAGGCGCCCGCCCCGACCCCACACACCTCAGCTCCCCCAAACTTCAGAGCAACTGCCCATGCCACAGCTGAAACACAGAATTTAAATATTTTATCCCAAAGGAGCTGGGATTGCTGGGCTGGCAGCAAAGCCACAGCACTGGGTCTGGGAGAACCACCAGGCACATTCCTTTACACAACACCGCTCTCTGTTATAATTATTTCTGTAATATCATAATTTATGTGGCATGAAGGAGCAATATTCTTCTGCTAAATGAATTCTCAGCTACTACTTGTCATGGTGTGAGCTGACTCACTGCACGGGGAGAAAAATATAGCTGGAGAGCCACCTTTCACAAAACAGAGACCTATTTCTGACTAAACTGTGCTCCACTAGAATCAATTTACTGAAACAATAAATTCTTTTACCCTGTGGAAGATACCTGGAGATAAAACAGATCATGAACAGCTGCAGGCTGTGCCATTAGCCGATTCACAAGCTATGAACCTTGGAGTCTACTTTTCAGTAAAAATATATATAAACAAGAAAAATTACTGGTTTTTAAATAAAAAAAAAAGAAAAGCACTTGTGAGATGATGTAGGCTTATCTCTCAGTATCTTTGAAAAACTGAGAGTGAAAGGGTGCCAGCTCCCTGATGGGATAGGGGTGTTGGCGCACGGCACGGGGACCACGGGCTCCTGAGGTCTCCTTCCAGCTCAAAGACCGTCTCTCCAGCTTGCCCTGGGCTAGTCACTTCAAACCTGCCTGCTTGGGCTTCTGCCTCTGCAAAGCTGTGCAGAGGATCCTTCCCGCCTCAGAGGCCAGGAGAATGAAAGCAATCCGAAGATAAAAAGCACTGGCTAGATGCTAAGACTGAGTTTAGGCACCGCTGTGCAGAAGGACACTTTGGGAGAAGCACAATTTGCCTCTGAATAAGGCTGGGAGCTGAGCACCCACGCGCTCAAGACACCCGTGGGGACACCAGCCACCCCTGCCCCGGGCCGGGTGCTCCCCTGGGCATCCCGGGTCCTGTCCCAAGCATCCTTTGCAAAAGTCAGGGGGTGACGGACAACCACCTGAACGTCACACCAGACTATCTATCTGAGACTCCCCCAGCCACCTCTAACCCATCACCTGCAGGCACACAATGCTTGGGAGACGCAGCAATTGTACGTTAATCTTTTATCAATGTTATTTATAAACAGACACTTAACGTAAAGCGTGACCGACAAAACAAACGGCAACACGCAACCTGCGCAAGCTG